GACCTGAGCTCCTATTTTGAACACAGTGGCCAGCCCCCTGGTTCTGCCCCTTACAAGAGAGAGCCCCAAAGCTGCTCACTCAACCTTCTGAGCCTTACTGTCTGAATCTATAAAGTGAAAACAGTGATTCCTATTTTTCAGTTTCAGTAGGATTCAAGGAATTTGATGCAGAAGCTGGATCAATTTGATAAGTATTATTTTTATAATTTGTCCAAGACCTTCGGAAAGTGGGCAAAGGACTTCTCCCATCCCTACATGCTGGCTGTCTCTCGGCTGGCTGAGAAAGCTGATAGCACTGTGGTTTCTTCCTCAGAGAAACTCCCTCTGAATCCCACTCTTGGGTCTCTGGCTGCTGTTTCTAGTAGGACATACCCCACTGATGAAACTGTGAGCTCTTTGAGGGTAGCACTTCTTTGGGATTTCTCTTAAAATGCCTGGTGTGGTCCTGAGGACACAGGAAACATTCACCAACACAGCTATTCTAACTCAACTAAATGTTGACCGAGCTTCTGTACTGTGGGGGCCAACGTCGTCTCTAAGTGAGGGTGTGGAGGAGAAGCCTAATATGTACAAGACCATTAACATTTGCACTACCCAATGAGTGTAAAAACACAAACAAACACACAAAAATCCACTGCTAGGTGTTTTCTCCACATTTGCTCTCTTAACATCTGCCAGGTAGATGCTGTCATTCCCTCTTTCCAGAAGAGGAAACTGAAGCTCCCAGAGGAGTCATCTGCTCAAGGTTCCCAAAAGTCAGAAGATGGGCAAAGAGGGCAAAGCCACAGCCACATGATTTCCACTTCACCCCATTAACCCCTATGCTCTTTACCTACTCATGTTTCTCAGTGTACAATTCAAACGTGCTTTTGCATGAGCCTATGAATAAATGAATACACAAATTATTGTAACACATGAAAAATTATGATTTATATTTTAATGGAAGGCCCAAAGTGTTATGGACATGCCCAGAGGCTGGTGATAACAACCTAAGGTAGAGTGGCAAAGGACTGACATACCCAATAATGGGTTGATGGGGTGGACAGAGAACAGATTACAAAGGAAGGAGGGATGTCTAGGGTCTCACCTGCCTTACAAGGCAGGGATGTCCCATTCAATCACCAGCTCAGTCTGAATGCCTTACGATGGCGAGCCTACTATATCACAAGGCACTCCATCCCCCTGTGGATAATTCTCATTCTTAGAAAGGTTTTCTTTATTTTGGCCCTAAAACTACTGCCCTGGAAATGCTTAGTCTAAGTTTTACCCTCAAAGGATTAACCAAATAAATTGGTTGGTTGACTCAAGGTTTATAATCCCTGGGGAGCACTGAACAGTCCAGATACTATTTCCATTTCCTCCTTAGGCCCTTGCAGAAGGAGGGAGGTGTGCCTGTCTAGATAGGAGGAAATGGACTGTGGTAAGAAGTGCTGGGGATGGGGCGGGGGGAGCAGGATGAAGGGGTATCTACACCTCATCTTGGCAGCCTATGGTGTAAAAGCACCAGAGCAATGCAAAACACGGAGACAAAATTAGGACAAGACGAAATTTCTGCAAGCACTTAACCCAAACCATTTCTGAGGTTCCCCGAAGAGAGAGAACTTGATTCTTTCAGTCCATTTCCATTTTTGTTCTGTCTCAGGGACTTCTTGAATTCCAATGGGGCCAGGAAGGTGCATGACCAAAATATCTAAAGAATGTCTCTTATTACAGGGTATTCAGCCTAATCTGCACATCTGGAAGTTCTGATGCCTCTGATCATGTCTGGCTATGAGACTCAAGGTTCGGGCTGGAGTAGCTTAGCCCTAACGAAATTGGGGGATCTTGCTGGAGGAGAATGGACGTGAGAGACTGGAAATTATTAGAAGCAAAGGGCTTTTACAAAACTGAAAGTAAGGGCAGTGCTCAGGAGTCTGTTAGGGGAGAATCCAAGAACTTCATGGTGTTTGCACTGTGATGCCAACAATGGGATCTGCCTGGCTTTCTTTCTGCTTGTTTCCTCAGGGGGATTTTCCAGGTATCCACTGACCTCCAACTTTGGGATGTGACTGCATATTCCCAATCTCACTGCTGGCTTCAACGAGATCCTAACCTTAGGTTCTCTACGTCTAGGCTGTGTGGCGCTGGGGAAGCCACTCCACCTCTCAGTGCCTCCAAGATAGGGGACTGGCTGTGGAGGGTCCAATGCAGTGGCTGGTGGACCTCAACGGCCACTGCCCCCTCCCCCCCCTCCCCTTTATCTGTTCCAGTAGTCACTCTCTAGACCCAGCTCCTACAGGGGAATGTCATGTATGCGTGCATGCATGTGTATGTGTGTGTGTGTGTGTGTGTGTGTAGAGAAACAGAAAAAGAAAGAGGAAGGATAAAGTATAAGTGTACTGGGGGGAGGTGAGGGGCACCTGGTGGACCTTAAGAATCTCTCTGGAACTGCCTTCTCTCCATCTCTCAAGCCATCAACCTCTTCACTGGAAGCCCTGACAGGGTGAAAATTAACTAGCAGCCTCCTCTAATCACTGCACAGGGTAATGAAGGCCATGGTTATACTTCCCCTCTTTTCTGTTGTCAGAGGGAGCTACTTTATACCCCAGGGAGAGCCTTACGCAGAATCACCAAGGCTCTGCATAGGTGTGTGTGTGCATGTGCATGTGTGTGCAGGACAGGGGCCAGGTACGAGCGACTTCTAGGCATTTGCTTCTAGTTGGGAAATTCAGAAGACTTTTGTTCTGACGCCCTCCAGGCTGCCTGCCTGGCCCTGCACCCAGCCTGTGCGACACATCCCCTCCCCTGACCCCGTATTCTCTAGTGAGCTGATCTCATTATGGCAAATTTAGTTACAGCTGAAGTCTCCTTGTAACAAAGATTATGTCCAAGCCCAGAGTAATGGAACCTAGTCGATTTCATTAAAATAAAATTGGTTACAATGAATAATTCAATAGGATGATTTTGTTTCCTCATCTCCTCTTTGTAGATCGAAGAGCTAGTATTTATAATGATTTTTCAAAATTGGATTTTTGTTTAGGAAGAGATAATCAACCATAATTCCTGACAGCCCCTCCTTACAAGACTGAAATAATTGCCCATCGAAGTCTCCTTTCAAATGCTGGGGCTGGACAATTCTTTCTCTCCTTTTTCTCACTTTCGCAGCAAGAACGTTCAGTTGGTTCTGAAGCACAGCTGCTACCTCCGCTCTTGCTCATGTGTGATTCCAAATGCGTCAATTCCCTTGTTTGAATGATGTTTTTTAAACATTTCTAGAACTGGATGCTAGTGTTGAATTGGGAATTCCTGGCTCTATTGCTGGCCAGCCCTGTTGTCCCCAAGCAGGACCTTCCATGTCCCAGAGAGGGGATTCTTGGGCATTTTCTCTTTGTGGTACTCATTTGCATGCAGCAAGGTGTGTGTGTGTGTGTGTGTGTGTGTGTGTGTGCGCGCGCGCCCACGTGCACATCCATGCTCACACATGTGTGCATGTAACCATAGCCAATTAAACACATCCTGTGCTCAAAGATGAGAGGATGAAAATGAATATAACTCAAAGCTGTTCTCAAAGAACGAACAGCCTAGGGGGAGCCAGACATGCACACAGGTAATTCTGGTTCAAGGTGACAGGTGCAACGAAAGAGGAATTCAGCAAGTACAGAGGTGGCACTAGATAAACCCTAGACATCCATCCATTCATTCATTCATTCTTTGAGTCATTCATTCACCAGGCTGGCACCATGCAAGATTTCTTTCGACTCTCCTCAGGGCAGTCAGAAACAAATGCAGATGAATAAATAATCTAATGCACAGAAACACAAGCAAACAGATGAATCAAAAGATGGCCAAATAAACACTGCAACTTGTAAATGAAGTGTACTTATCCTGTACCTCAACCAGTGATTTTCACTGGGTCCCAGAAGAAGGTCAAATGTCTGGTTCATCTAGAAATCAGGCCTACTACCCACACCCTCGAGTCAAGGAAGCCATGTAAAAGAAGAATGGTAGGAGTAATAGCTCATCTGCAAGGCCAGGAGGCAGGCTGGCCTCTGAGATGGCCACCCGGCCTGGCAGTTGGAAGCACTGAGTCGTGTCTCGGGGAAATGGGAGTCTCGGAAGAAGGCAGGTGCTTGCTCAGCAGGATAATTGGAAAGGGGGCTCCGGGGACAGCACAGCCATCCCTAGAATCACACAAGCACTGGTGGCCCCAACCTCTTGCTCCCTCAACTAAACTGGCAGTCCCCTGGAGAAAGAACGCTGGAACATAAATAGTGCATTAGGGGACTAAGGCCTGAGTCACAGCTTTTTAGAACGGGGAAGTCCTTGGAGATCATCAAGCTCAACTATCCTCTAATTTAAAGATGGCGGGAAGGGTGCCTGGGTGGCTCAGTTGGTGTCCGTCTTCAGTTCAGGTCATGGTCTCACACTTCATGAGTTTGAGCCCCGCATTGGGCTTGCTGTTGTCAGCACAGAGCCCGCTTTGGATTGTGGTCCCTCTCCCCCGCCCCTCCCCTGCTCATGCTGTCTCTCTCTCTCAAAAAATAAACATTTAAAAAACAAACAAACAAACAAACAAATAAAGGGGGGAATGGGGCCCAGAGAAGCAGGAGACTGGTCTAAGGCCACACAGCAAATTGCGATAGAGTTAATTCACAGGTGAGTCCTCAAGGAGAGCACAACTTGGGACCGCCCCCAAAAAAGTAGGACTCCTCCCCAAATTTGGTCTTGCTCAATTGAATTCCACTGACATATCTAAAATGGAATTCTTTAACCAAATAGGAATTATAAAATGTAGGGAAATAGGACGACAGGCTTTACCCTACTGTGATGTTCCCTGCACTTAACCATCCCATGTCTCATCCCTGACAAATTGCACTCGTGAGGCCTTGGGATTACATTTGGTTAGCAAGATGGTCAGGTGGTCACCTCCAGTGACACAACGTTTGAGAAAGGCAGCCCGGAGGGGCAGAGCAGAGATGCAGAATGTCTGCAAGAAACAGCACACGCGGCTAGGACCTTACCTGGGAGGCTGCTGGCTGGCCGATGATGACCCAGCCTGGGCACTGCTGGTCCTGATGTGATACTGAAGCATTGGACGCCCACTGATCGAGGAACCCCTGTGGTGTGTAGACCCCACAGTCCTTGATGCTAGTTTTCTGTTCAAACTCCTCACATACTCCATCACCATCATGGAAATAGCACCGGCTGGGTTCATCTGTAGGAGACGGACAGAGAAGGGAGAGAACAAATGGATATTCGTTCTCTGGTCTCAGCTGTCATCTGTAGCTGTGGGGTCAGATCAGCAGAATCTTCAGCACTGTAAAGCCCATCATCAGTAGTCACGAGGGAATATTATTTACCCTTAAAAATGAAGGAGGTTCTGCCATTTGTGACAACATGGATGAACCTGAAGGACGTTATACTAAGTGAAATAAACCAGTCGCAGAAGGACAAATACTGTATGATTCCACTTAAATGAGGATATAAAGTAGTGAAACTTATAGAAGGGCAGAATAAAATGGTGGTTGCCAGGGGCTGGGGGGAGAGAGAAATGATTGAGGGTTGAGAGTTACTGTCCGATGAGTATAAAGTTGCAGTTATAGGAGACGATGTATAACTTTGCACTTACAGCTAACATTGTGCCTATGGTTATATTAAGTGTAGGTATGCTTACAAATTTAGAGGGTAGATCTTGTATTATATACGTTTTAACACACACACACACACACACACACACACACACACACACACACACACAGACATTCACAAACACTTCGACCTTCATTACCCCAAGTGAGCCCCACAGCAACCTTGTGAGAAAGGCACTATTATTTTAATTACTTTAGTCTTCCAGGTTAACTGGACACTGAGATCCATGTGTCTTTAAAAACTGCCCAAAGTCACATGGTGTGTTAATGCCAGATCCTGGTGTCAAATTCCAGCTTTCACTTTCCAGGTTCTGGGTACATTATCTGACACCACAGAACTTCACAGTGGCAAACTGAGGTTTTACTGAACTCCAAAGAGAATTTAGGTTTCATATAAGGAGTGAAATGATACACTAGAGGGACTGGCTTCAGTCCCAGCTCTGTAACTAAACTTTTCTGTTACTTAAGACAAAGCCCTTTTCCCCTCTGGGCTCAATCAGATAAGGGGGTTAGAGTGCTGGGACCCCAGGAACCCTTGCTGTCTATTGCTCTAGGCTCCTCAGGGCTTGTTGGATACTGTAGGAGTTCAAGTTCAAGGCCAAGTGAGTTCTCAAGCTCCCATGTAATTCAAATCACAGCAAAGATTTCTGCTTGGGACAACTTAAAGCTGCAGCTGGCTACAGTGACTCTCTGCCACAAGGACAAAGATCATGGAAGCGTACAGAGCTGGCAGGTGCTTTCTGAGCAGGCAGGACCTATACGCGTTGCTTGGTATTTCAGCACAGGAACAATACAAGGAGAAATCAGAATGTAGCCATCTGAAGGAGACCCCCCTGCCCATCCTTTAATAACTCAAATGTCAGGTAGTCTGTGCTATTTTCCCAATACCTCTAGGCAAAACTAAATACCCCTTTCTGTGTAGGTCCCTATTTTATAAAGATCCCTACCTTAACGCTTATCTGTGTCATTATATGTACATGCTGCAGCTCCTTTGAAAGACTGAGCTTCTTGAAATCCAATCCCTATGTCATGTCTCCGGGTGAACTTATAATTATCATCCCAACAAGTATACTTTGAGACTGACAGGGATGTCCAGGCAATAGGCACATTTCCTAGGAAAATTTGAATATTGTCCTGGCCAAATCGGAGCATATGGTCACCCTAAGGATACTGCTTGATCTAGGACATCCTTCCCCTATTTACTCCAAAATAATGGACTGGAGCCCCATTTCCAATCAGGGATTGAATTTTACCCCTCATATCAGCTGGAGAACTTTGTACAATTAGCTTCACTCTTCAGCCTCTGGCTTCCTATCTGTAATATAGAAACAATTGTCCTAAATACTGTAATAATGTTGCATGGTGACAGATGGCCGCTACATTTATCATGGTTAGCATCGAGCAATGTACACAATTGTTGAATTGATATGTTGTGCCACTGAAACTAAAATAACATTGTATGTTAATTATACTTCAATTAAAACAAAAAGATAGAAATGATCGTCCCAGCCAAGACAACTCTCAGGATAGCCACAGAACTCTCATAGGAAGTGGACGTAAACATGCTTTGTACATTGTAAAATAACAGTCGAGAGAAAAAATGTTCTTTTAAGGGGTGGGTCAGTTTATTTATAGCTGGCTGAATGGAATCACCTAGTATTCACTTAAAACACTTCGTACAGCATTCCCCCCAAATAGGAAAAGCTAGGGTCAAGTAGAATTAAAACTTGGATTTCTAGGATGCTATCAGCAAAAGGAGCCCGTGAATTCAGGGGCAGCAGAATGTTGAGCCCCTTCCAAGCTCCAAAATGCCTTGTTTATTTCAGCAAACAGTTTACATAGCGAAATACTATCAAAAGAGCCAGAATAAATCAATTCATTATAATTCAATTATTTAAGGATGAGCCTGAGCCAGCGGAGGACTCCAGTGACCAGTAGCATGCCTGGCAGGCAAGCATGGAGAGAATACAGACTCAGCACTTCTCAGGAGCTCCAACCTCTTGGTGAACGTGGCCAACTTACATATAGTAAAACTTAGACCCAATCTGCGAGTGACCAGCCATTAATCCAGACTTTACTCTTTCAAAACTCAATAAAGGGAATTATAAAAAGCACAGGATTTGGCATCAGACAAATAGGACTTAAATAAAGTAACCTAGCCTCTCTGAACTTCATTTTCTCATCCAAAAAATAACGGGGACAATGATGTTTACCCAGTGTTGTTGCACTGGCCTCATGCGATGACGGGTACAACGTCAGCATCTTCACTCATTTTGCTAATGGGAAACTGAGAGCCATAGGCGGTAAGGAGTCTGCTTGCAGATCACAGAGGGGCATGGTCGAATAGTTAGAAGTAAGAGCCTGGCCCTTTTATACCCAGCAGAGAAATGTGCCCCACACCCCATGCTGTCTCCACAGAATAATGAAAGCACCTCCTTCTGAGGAGAAGATTGTGGGGTTGCTTGACTGAAGACAGGTAGGGTAAGATTACAATATCATATAAGATCTATTCTCTAACATGACTTCATTCACTTCCTCAGCAAAAAGACCTTGGAGTGGCAGCAATGGGGGCTACAGCTGAGTTCTCATGAAGGCTAACTTCTTCCTGATTATGTTTAAGACCTCAATATTTCTGTCTGCTTGGACTCAGAAGAACCAGGGAATGGTGGAGAGGTGAGGGTAGGCACAGAAGGTAAATAAGTCGCAAGGTAGTTAGGTATGTGATAGATGATAGATAGTAGACAGCCAAGCAGGCAGACAGGGACAGTTAAAAGAGAGATAGGAGGTAGTGGGAGGAGTGAGAAAAAGTGAGTGAGTGAGTCAAAGAAAGAGAGAAAGAGAGAGAATAAATATGCCTGGTTTCTCCCCCAAGGTTCTGCTGACATAGCTACTATGAGCCACTTTTTGAAATAACATCCTTGGACTCTGCTATTCATTTTCTCTTGCCACTAGAGTCCCGGGGGCCCTTCAGCTACATCTGCCAGTCTACATCTGGGGAATTTTCTCTCCCGCTCTACTCCCATGCCCCAAGCACCGTGGAGAACAGAGCGAGGAATGGAATAAAAATGTGTGGCCAGGAAAAACAAAGACAGCAACAACAACACAATAAAACAAAACTGGCCTTCCTGTTTTCATTACACAAATTTACTTGGTACTTTTTGAACACTTTATGCTGGTAGCTGAGCAGGTTGTAGTCAATACCAAGGTCAAATGACCACCCTGTCACCTGCCTTCCATGTAGTAGATAGGTGTCATTGATAATAATGCATCCCCTGGATGGAGTAATGTGAAAGCCGACTAGACTCTCAAATAATTGTTGAATGAATGAATGAACAAATGAATGAATGAAATTCAGCACTTCCAATGCACATACTCCTGGTCCAGCATAGTTTAGACTCTTTACCCTTTGAGAAGCTTCTTTGGGCAGGGTCTGAGGGTAGCGAGAAAGAGATTAGATGGCAGCTGTGACTGGCTTACAGTAGGATTGCACTGGACAGTCTGATTTCTCTACATCACCCCACGTTCCCCTGACATAAGAGACCTCCTTGTCTCAGACCCACCCCTTTTCATGCAGTGGCACATTTAGAAACCTGCTCTATCCAGCTAGTGGACTTTATGTGGGGGGGGGGGGGCAGGCATTGCCAAGTCTGTCATCCCCAGTTGAGCTTTTCTTTGATAGATACTTTTTTTTTTTTTCCTTTTGGAAGAAATGCGGTCAGCCCCAGGAGCCCAAGGCAGATGGACTCTCTGTAAGTGGACAGACACAGAGGATGCCACTTCTCATTGGCTTAATTTTCAATTCCCATCTGTCTGGAGCATCAGGATGAAATGCCATGCTTCTGCATTCCTGAGGCTTGTCTGAAGGACACTATTTGAGATAGTCAGAGATTACCGCCCCTGGTTAAAAGTGTGGAAGCCAAGTCTTAGGAAAATGAGATGAGTTTACCTTGGCATGTAAGCAAAGGCTGGGTTTTAGGCTATTGTCAAGTGTTCTTGTCCTTAAAGCCAGAAACCCTGGATTGAAGCCTCTAAATCTGTCCATGATTACCAGGTAATCTTGAATATATTTACTTACAGTGGAACTACTTCAACCCAACTGGGGGACACTAATTAACTTAGCTTGATTAGACGCATTGTGAATTAGCAACACCACTAGAATTCTTGGGGTGAATGAATAAAAGAAATAGCTAGAGAGTCCATTACTGGAAAAGGGAGAATGGACTTAAATCGCTCATGTCAGCTGAGTACAAGATCTTAGGATGATTTCCACTAGACCTCACATCAAGAATCTTGAAGACCAGACAGTCACAAGCTATTGGCCACTGAAAAAATGAACGTAAGCCACTGTGTTCTTCAAACAAGACCAGAGATAATGTGTATTCTTCAGGAGAGTGGGATAATTTAGCAGATTTGGGCTATCATTAGTCTACCCCAAATACATATCTGCCCATACCATGCTTCACATATAATGCTTTGACAGATCCCTCTGTTTATGGAGGAGATCCTTTTCTTTAGCTTGGCATACAAGACCCTCCACAACTGATCTGTCCTGCAGTTTTCTAAACCA